TGCACTCCCAATGCCGGGCCTCTAATACGTTGCGGTCATGACCGACATGCGTCCGCCGTCGGCAGCAAGCACCATGCCGTTGCAGAAGGAGCCGGCCCGGCTCGCCAAATACAAGACAGTACCCGCCATCTCCTCGGCGCCGCCAAACTTCCTCGCAGGGATAAAATTGGGGTCTAGGTACGTCTCCTCTGCTGGGTCGCGGGATCCGATGAGAGTCGCGGCGAGCTCCGATGGGAACACTTAGAAAACGGGTCAGCGTTTGCTCGATGGACTCGCAATCACGGACGGGGAGGGCGGGAAACTTACGTCCCGGCGCCAAGGCATTCGCCCGGATACCATAAACCGCCATGTTGGTGCTTGCATGCTTGGTGAGGTGCATGATGGCTGCTTTGCTCCCGCTGTAGGGCGCCGTGGATATGTTCATACGGCTGAAGGCCGCGATGCTGGCCGTGACGATGATCTGGCTCTGGATTGACGGCGCAGTGCTGCCCGGCTTGATCGGAGCCCCGAACCCGCCCTTCTCGACCGCGTTCTTGTTGCCCGCGTCGAGCAGTTCAAGGAAGGCGACCATGGAGAAGAAGGCGCCCGTCACGTTGACGTGGAACACCTCCGTCATGGCCTCCATCGAGTTGTCGGTGAAGAGCTCGCGGCGCACCTCCGACACGGACTTGGACGAGTCCCACTTGTTCAGCGGGCCGAGGACGCCTGAGTTGGCGACAAAGAGGTTGACGAACCCCGACTCGGCGGTGACGCGGTCAACCGCTGCTTGGAGCGAGTCCTTGGAAGTGACGTCGCATTGGATGGGTACAAATACGCCGGGGCTCTCCTTTGCGACATTTTCAAGCACCTGGAGCCGGCGGCCAAGGATGTAGACCTTTGCTGCGCCATTGGCCGCCAGTGCCCTGGCCATGATGAGGCCGATTCCTAACCGAGTGTCAAAAAGAGACGTTCAAAAAAGAAAAGGGGCAGCTTGAACTTACCGGTACCTCCGCCCGTGATGACGGCTACCATGCCGTCAACACGGAACACTGCGTTTGCTTCGAGACTGGGCGACATGTTTGCTGTGTTGGGCTACGTCGGGGGGGGGGGGGGGGGGGTTTTGGCGTGAGGTAACAAAAGGGGGCGGGGTAATGCGCAGAGATGTTTTGGGAGAGAGGTGAGAGTACCTCGGATTTCGACCGACTTGATCAAGCCCGAGCTAGGTATACAAGCGCCCCTTTTATAATATATATAATATACGAGTCGCAAGCCAAGAATGATATGTGCTTAGGCGCAGACAATTTCTGAGGGCCAAACGCCGCTGAGTTTGCGCTTAGCTCCTAGATCCGCGTTCGGTCGGAGATAAGTGGTGGCCAAGCTGGTCGAGCTGCGTGGGGATTCCCGGATCACCTCCGCACCATCTGCGGACCTCCTTGGGCAGCCAAGCCCGGCGTCTACCGACCGACCATTCCGAAATTATGGATAGTCTCCCGAGCTCCTGAGATGGGCTGCTAGTGGGGCATCTCGGACATCTCGGCTCGCCGATGACACCTTAGTCTCGGGCGATATAATTGACTGCTTGCCGAAACCGACGGCCTGGGCGGAGCAATCACGTTGTTATACAGCCCGGAGGGGTTAATAGCGTACACCCGTAATGTCCGTCCGTATGTTGTCTCATACACCATGATAACATTCCGCAGGATTATGGGAGGCCAAAATAGTTCTGCATCTGAAACCAGGATTGAGACTCATTGTTGACACCCGGCTCTTCGTATCGCGATGCACGACTGATTCTGGCGTGCCCTGACTATTGGCTTTTATAATTTATTACAAATCGGAACCGCCACCCACCCGAGAACCTCTAGATCAAACAACTCGTCTTCGCGAGAGCATGAGACCTAGCTAATCAACTGATAAACAGTTTGGTTTTCCTAGTGGCTACAGTCACATCACTTGAGGGGAGAATACTCTGACCCTTTTTTTGTAGTAGATGCCCCCGTTCGATGTTCGGGAGAATACATGTAAAGCCGGCGGTAAATACCCCGTTGGGCCGCGGGCGGACCACAAACCTACCGCCGAGATCTATCCAGCAGCAACCAGTCAGCGAGGTATACAGTGAGGGGTCGAGGGGATAACTTCAAAACATCAAATCTCATATCTTTTTCTACTGCAGACAATTTTTGAGCATAAATACCAATCGCCGATTCACCATGGCCAAGTCGCGAATCATCCTCGGCCTCATGGGCTTTGCCCCTGACGAGAACACGGGCGCTCGCCTCCACGAGGTTGACGATCTGAAAAAGGCCCTCGACATCTTCCAGAGCCGTGGCTACTCCGAGCTTGACACGGCGCGCGCATATGGCGGAGGAGCCCAGGAGGGATTCACGCGCCAAGCAGGCTGGAAAGAAGGTGGATTTTCCATCGCGACAAAGGTCTACCCCATACCGCCGGGAAACCATGCGCCGGAAGTGATTACCCGCGAGTTTGAGACCAGCCTGAGGGAGCTAGGGACTGACTCTGTCGATGTAACTACCTTACCCAGCCAGTCCTTCGCGAAGCACCGCGGTGACGAGAGTCATGGCTAACAGCAGCAGATTGCATACCTCCACGCGCCGGTGCGTTCCACTCCCTCCCCAAGCACCCAGCCACAACATCGCTAACTCATCTCTCAGGACCGCACTGTCCCCTTCGCCGCGACCCTGGCCGCCATGGACGCGCTGCACAAGGCGGGCAAGTTCAAGCAGCTAGGCCTGAGCAACTTCGCAGCCTTCGAGGTGGCCGAGGTAGCACTAACATGCGCGCACCATGGCTGGGTGCGGCCGACGGTGTACCAGGCCGTGTACAACTGCATGCAGCGCGGCATCGAGGCCGAGTTGCTGCCGGCGTGCCGGCGCTACGGACTCGACGTCGTCGTCTACTCACCCATCGTCGGCGGCCTGCTCTCGGGCCAGATCACGCGCAAGGAGACGGTCCCGGCCGAGGGACGCTTCTCGGACAAGTTTCTCAACGGCTGGGTCCGGGAGCGGTATTTCAGGGATTCGACGTTTGACGCCATCGCGGAGCTGCGCGCTGCGGCGGAGAGGGAGGGGGTGAGTACCATTGAGGTGGCGTTGCGGTGGCTGGTGCATCATTCCAAGCTGTATGTGCACGGCGGGGATGGGATTATCATCGGGGTGTCCAAGTTGGAGCATATCGACTCGAATCTGGATCATCTGGAGAAGGGGCCGTTGTCGGAGGAGTTGCTGGGGGCTCTAGATCGGATGTGGCAGATTGCCAAGGGGGAGGAGGCGCCATATTGGCATCTTGACTTGGAGTATGCTTACGACACCAAGGAGGTGTTGTTTGGGGAGGGGTCCAAGTAGCGGGCCACAGTCGGCCGCGGAGTTCGTCAAAATGTGGCACTGGGATGCTGGGTGATGTTGTCAGGGATCGTCGTCAATTTCGAAAGCTGAGTTAGTGGTGTCCGACAAATATGGCTCTCGAAAGCAAGGTTCTGCTACGCTGTAAAGTCGAAGAAAGCCATTCAATATTTAAACTGTGACTCGAGTCTTGCATTGGATACGCAATCCGATACTTGAACGGCTCGTGGTATGTAGATAGGTGGTATGTAGATAGGTGGTATGTAGGTGGGTAGTGTGTACTTCCATGTTGCCCCTGCTAGGCGTTTGGCCTTTTGTCGCCGGCGCCAGGAATGACAACTCAGTCATCTTCTCATCATATTCCTTCCTACAAGGATTGTCTTCTCGTATCTCTATCCCTTAAAATCCCTGCTTGGCAACCTGGGCCTGGGCGGCAGCAATGGTGGCAGCAGCGTTGGGGTCGACAAAGTTGCATCCAGCCTTGCCGTTTTGGAACGCAGCGGCCTCGGCCGAGCAAACACCAACGTTGGAGGCGTTCGCGCAGCAGGCACTCGCGCAGTCGGCGTCGTTGACGCACCCTCCCGTGATGAACTGGGAGCCGTCCCCACTGCCAACGTTCCGGGCACCCGCGAGGTTGGGCTTGATCTGGGCCATGGCGACGACGGCAACTAAAACCTCGCGTTAGTCCGAGCCTTGTAATCAATAAGAAAGGGCCAGGACGCCTTACAAGCCAGCACAGCGGCGATAGAGATGCGGACCATTTTGAAGGAGTGGCCGTGTTGTTGTTATATTAAATTGTATTAAAAGATCGGCTTATGAAAACAAAACGACACCAGGTCGTATTGAACGAATGTCAAAAAGAAAGGAGAATAAGATGAGGAAAGAAGATGGAATGATAGCGCAATCGTGTCGAGACCCGGATTCGCTGCACCGATGGCTCTTTAAGTACGAGCTGCAACTCATCCCAACTGTCCAATACGGACTCACGATCCACCATTCAGGGGCGATCCCTACGATATCCTATGAAATGGAGCATCCGGGGTTTTGGCATGAATTCCGACGATATTCCGTTGCAGATCGACGTCCCCTCGAGTCGTTCGACGTCGGAAACAAACAAGCCTTCGCAAGGCCGTCGCGCACGACGGTCAAAGCCACCAGCCAAATACCGCAGGCTGTTTTCGGCCGCTGTTTTGCGCTTCGGGTTCGCTACAGCAGCAGACGGTTACATGGCGGGTTTGATCGCCCCTGACCCCGGATTTTAGCCCCGGCCGCCCCCCTGGCCGAACAGCATGTTGGCGACGACGACACGTCTTGGCATCGATGCACCCGAGCGGCAGAGATCGAGCCAACGGATCAATTCCGACGTTGCGGCGTAACATGCTGGCGTCTGCCACGTTCTTTTGCAGCCTGAGGCGTCTCTGGATGATGGTGTTGGTAATGATCTTCGCGGTCTGTCAGTGCTGCACCATTGGGATTCGGGGGGTTGGTGAGAGGCACAGCCTAACTGGGCCTGTTTGATGTGCACTGTCGTAGATATTTCGATGCACCCGGCCGCAATTACCCGACGTGACTGTGTTTGTTTGTGCCAATGACGACGACGACGATATTTCCCCCTGAACAAAACAAGGTTAGCCAGGGTTGCAAAAAGGAATCCAACAGCTAAGCCCACTCCCAGAGTGGGACTGATGACCTCATCATGTCTTAATGATGTATCAGAAGATATACTAGTGATGCGCTCTACCACTGAGCTAAGCGGGCGTTGTAATGGATTGTGGATGATGGGTGCCGAGCATCGGTAATAGGTGAGGAGCATGGTGGGGGAGATGCGAGAGTGACCGTCAGGAGGCTCCACAGATGATTCTGAAGAGGGGCAGAATTAGCATGTGCATGCTTGCCTATGTCTGTCCCGCCCCGCTTATAACATGCCAGCCGTGTGAATGAATAGGGACATGCTGCGATCGATGCGCATCATCATTGTCGCAAATAACCCACAATTTTAATCCCACATTAAATAACGGCTTGAAGGTGAAGCTAATCCGGGTTCAAGTACATGTGTTTTGTATCGGCCAAAAGAAAGGAAAGCTATACATACTAACGCAACTCCCTGCTCCTTCCGCCTTGCCGGTAACACCAGACAATAAAAGAAAAGACAAACACAAAACCTCCCATTATTAGCCCCCTCCTCAGCGCCTGGTAGCCTTTCATATACCCTTAATAACCGAAAAGCGAAGGACGAATTTTTTTTGGACGTAAATACTGTAGCCGCCTAACTCTAAAGTCCAGAATCTATAGGCAAATCGAAAGAGCTTAGAGGAAATAATCAGAAACATCAATGAATTCGAGACAAATTGACCGGGAATAGGGTGTGCAGAGCGCTCTCTCGCTCAGAGAAGGGGCGGCAGTTAGGATCGAGAATAGATCTCTGGTATCAGGGAGCGAGACCCAACAGGCGCGTCTCAAGATCTCCAACCAAGGCCTCCTCCAAGACCGGCGCTTGGCGACCCGAATTTTGCATCTCGGCCCGCTGGCTCTTGATAAGCCAGGTCCGCGCAAGCAATGTACCACGCCTGGAGGATGACTCGTTGGCCCGTACCCACCGATGGCTGCCGGCCTCAGTGGCAAGCTTATAGCCAGGGACCGCAGAGTCCGACGGCGTTCGGCCGTATCCGCGAAGGCGGACGGTGGAGTGGATTTCAACCGCCGGCGCATCTCCGTCCGAGTCGACGATCCGGCCGGGATTGGGAGCGGCGGTTCCAATCAGGTGCTCATAGCCGTGAGCACGAAAAACGCTTCCCTTCATCCAGGAGTGGGTTCCCGGCTGGCTTTGTGCCAGAGAGAAGTACTCGTCAAGGACGGTGGTGTCAAACTGAATTCCGAGTCCGTGGAGCTGCTGGATCATCCAAGCCAGGGGTGCAAGAATGAGTGAGTTTTGGTTCCCCTTGTTGATCCAGCCCAGATTGCCGTGATTGCCAGCAAATGCAACCTGCTTAAGACGACCATTTGATGCGGCGCGGCCACGCAAGAGAGTCGAAGCATATGGTGCCCGTGTTTCGTAGAGTGACACTGCCGAGAAGGCGTTTTGCACATCTGATTGGTGTCAGCAGGCGTCAGTACGAAACTTGAAAGACACTGAGAATACAGTCCAGCCCTGGTTTTTTTATTAGCGTGTGACCTTCCCCTAATGGCCCCAAGGGAGATATTGAAACCCCGGAAAGGCTTTCAAGCAGTAAAATCAGCATCCTTCGCATTAACAAAAGGCATATTTGGTATTTCAGCAGGCCTTTCCCATTACCAAAGATTCCTCTTCTTATGCTGCGAACGCTTTATCAGGGCTTCAGAACCTCTCTTAGTGGAAGCATCACGCGCCAACAAAACAAACCAGGGCTGTATTGTACTTGAAGCAACATACTGGAAGGAAGTTCCATAATGACTTCGTCTTTCCTCGTCCAGCCACCTTTGATGAGGGCGATGGGCGTAGCGATGCCAGTCGTGGGAAGACCCATGCTGCTCACAGCATCAAAAAGACAGAGGGCTTCAATATCGACATCCTTGTGCACTGAAACTCGGAATGTTAGTTCTGAGCTAATTACCAGGCAAGGCAAGCAGTATTGGGGGGGGGGGGGGGGGGGGAGAGAACGTACCTTGGTACCCATGCATCACGTCTGCCACATCGTGTTGTCTAATGACTTTAGATTTGGAAGATCTCTTGTATAAATTGTGGTATAGCTCTTGGTCCCCATTCTTCGGAAGTCCTCCCAAGGCTTGAATGACCTTTGCAAGGTAGCACGCCTTCCAGCCACCCCTGGAGTATCCGATCATGATGATCCTATCACCGGGGCGGTAGTTTTCAGCAAGCCAGTCTATCATTGTGGACGTCAGTCAAGATCAGTCAAGCGAAAAGGAAGATTACGGCTTACCCAGAGCTTTGAAAACAATCTTTTTAGCTCCACTGCCCGTGACACCTAAATTCCTGCTGATCAACATTGTTGAAACGCACAGGTAACGTAGAGACAGGTAAGAATGGGATGCATACCTTCCCACACCCATCGAAGAACACGTCCGGTATTTCCAACGCCCTCATATTTGCTGCTGATTTTGTTCTCACTATTCGAGATTGCGTGGGCCAGATGGGGGACGACAGTGCCGCGAGAGGCCACGACGGATCCAGCCATGGTTCCTGTTGGAGGTGTATCAGCAGAGGTTAGTCTAAGAGGTCATGGTATTCGGGGAATATGACCAGCCCCTGATGGATGCCGTACCGTCAAAGCCAACTACCAGCAGGCGGGGCCCAGATTCCCTCCTCGAGGGCGAAGGTGGGACCTCACTTGGTACGCCCATATTCCGAATTGATTTCACAACTGACAAAGCAAATAGGCTGCCTCTCAATTTGAGGCAAAGGTAGAAGCGAATCGAGTTCCAAGAACACGAATATCTTCCATGCCTCCTGAGCACCTAGTCACCTAGCTGCAGTGGGCGCAAATGCTTGGGTTCCTTCTTGCAGACGGGCACTGGTAGGCAAATGATACAATGCGGCAAGGCTTAAGTTATCTCAGGGCAAAAAAAAAAAAAAAAAAAAAAAAAAAAAAATCCAAGGAACCATTGCGAGGATTGGTTGCGCTTTTGTACCTGATCGTGTGAAAGTCCAAATTCCGGCTCCCTCCCAGCTTCGAGACCTCTCGCAAACGTGACAACTTCGCTGTATGTATTGGCTCAGGGGGCAATAACAATTCGCGCATGCCACGTCGAGGAACAAGGCTCCAAGGGCCGGGTCAGCACCCGTCAGCATCACTGAGTTGCGCAAACAGATGAGCCATTTTGACAACGCGACGCGGGGGGGTTGCTTGATTGGTCAGCGACCTTGCAGGCAAGGGAGGCATTGCGACATATTTCATGCCGCCGCCCGCCGTCTTCGGGTGAAATGCGAACATCGTGAGAAAATTGAATCTGTCAGTTGGTGAAAATTTTCACCCATCCCACGCTCTGCCACCCACCCCTGTTTCCAGAAAAGACTGGTGGTTGTTATTTTGGGCGGAACGGTTGAGCCCGACCACCAATACGCATGTATGTGAACCTGCACATGGTGGGAGGGCGGAAAAATCTCTTCAAAAATCTCTTTGCCAACTTGCATGGAGAGGTGGCCGCAATTTCGATATTTTCTTAACGGGCGACGGACCGCTCGGAGATCGGGAGTGGGTGGTGGTGGTGTGCAGCGCAAGGCTCACTCACCCCAGAGCAAAAGGCAACCACCACAGGACACTTGGGCAAACTGGGCCTTGGCGGGACCCTAGGTAAAAGACCGAGCCGCCAGTAGCCGCTCGTGCCAGAAACTTGTCATCAACACCTGAGCTGCTCAGGTCCTGCTTCCTGAGCAGCTCGTAAATCCCGTCCGTTCAAGTGATGAATGTTCTGCCCCAGGTTCCGCTGTCATCGGGCCAATGAAAAGAAATATGGTAAAATCTCCAACCAATCCAAATGGATGGTTGGCCCTTCTCAAGAAGATACAACGAGAAGAAATTTTGCCATATGCAGGCAACTAGCAGGTTGTGTGAGTGCCAAGTTGTGTCCTTCCGACCTGTGGCAGTCTTGGTCAGACACGTGATCAGGCATGATACCCAACTGGAGGGAAGCACGGAAGGAAGCAGACCCCGCCAGGACGGGGCAAGCATTGGACGGTAAACGGAACCAATCAGCGTTCATCAGTGGACCCAGATAAGAACTGCAGCGCAATCGGGTCGCAATGGAAGTCGCAATTCAGTCGCAACCCAACCAGCACCGCACGATGCCTGGGGCCATTGCGACCCCCGCTTGGCCCTACGCGGGTTTCGCTTGTTGGGCTTACTCACTTCGATGCCTATCAGTCCGATTATCGCAATGCCTCGCATTATCTGTGTTCCTTGACAGCATCCAGGATTGTGACGAGATGTTCTCAGGACCCCGATTATGACTTCAGCAGGCGAAGAAACACTCGATTCGGACCACGATGTGCCCCCCGATGCGTCCCACGATGATATCGGGACTGAGAGCAGTCTTCTCGCCAAGCGCGGCCGATATCACTATCTAAAGTGCACCACATGTCGCCAGAAGAAAAAGAAGGTGAGAGGAACGCGGTGCTGAGCCATTTCGCTGGCCACTGATCCTGGCATCCAGTGCGAACCTGTCGACCGTGTCTGGCCGGCCAGATGCAACTTGTGCGTGACCTTGAGTCTCGAATGCTCGCCGCCCGAAGCAATCAGGGAGCGGCCCGCTGGAGTAATTCACCCCCCGCTCAGTCCCCTCGGCCCTAGAGCGCCTCATGGAAAGATCACAAAGTTCCCCAAACCACACAGGACATCCGGCTCGGGGTCCACGCCCCTAATCTCCTCTGCTGGCCGTCATCTGTTACCCACTAGTCATCCACCAGCCCTGGGCGAGTCTCTGTGCGAAAGGTGTCAGCGTCTCGAGATATCACAGGCCAGATTCCTAGCTTCAGCTCCCCGGGCGGGGTTAGGGAAGGCAGAGGAAGGTATTCCCCGGCAGCGCATTTCCCTGGGTCTCATCTCTCAAGTCCGTGCCAATCTCGAACGATGTCGGTTCTGCTGTCTTGTCTGGAAGGCAGCCCTTGACCAGCTGAGACTCGCCAACAGGCATACTAATGACCTTGATGCCGGAATCTCGGTCCATGCCACCTGGGAGATTGATGGCCGCCGTCAAGTTTCTCTCTCCAAGAATGATGATAGCTTCTTCGAACCAGTAACGCGGCACATCCGATTGTCATGGGA